AAGCAAGAGAGTGATTATCATAAAGTCAGCACAGTGGTTACCTGTGTGCTTGTGAGGGGGAGGGATGACTTGGAGATGATACATGAGGGGCTTCTTGAGTGTTGCCAGTTTTGTATTTCTTTTTCTTAATGGTACAATCAAATATTACTTATTACAGTTGTAAAATGCTTTGTAAATACACTGCCCTTACATTTGTTAGAATGTATACTTTCTGATCACATTTTAATTTTGACACTAAGGCAGAATTAAGCTTCTTTAGGTGAAATTATGTAATATTTAATTTTTTCATAAAGATTAATATCTTACAAACGGGACTTTTTTACATTTCTTTTAATTATATCTATCTATCTATCTATCTATCTATCTATGTGCATGCTTCTAATTGGTCCTGACACTTGACTTTTTTGCATTTTTCCTTTGTTGTACTTCAGTCCCTGTTGTAATCTGGAATGCAAAAAGAACTTCTGGGAAGGACGTAGTATTACTTTAAAAATTATAAATAGGAATAGAGTCATCATTCAGTGGCTAAGGATAATTCAATTCAATTTCACTGATGTTTAAATTGTTTAATGTCCTGTCCTTCAGAGAGACCGACATTTGGCATTTAATATCTGGGATTGCCGGTGAAGTGAAAGATGAAATGAATTCTAATAATGAATCAAGCCAGGAACTGAAGGAGGCTTTGCTTCTTTAACTTGTTTTATAAGATCAGTTGTTTCAGTGAATAACCACGTTGTAGTGAAAGGAGGAATTGTATGTTGCTTGTGAGATGCAGAATGACATAGGAACTGCCAAAATTCCTTTCATTTATCATGAATTCCAGAAAGAACTTTTGATCTTCTGATATAAGTATTGCTGCCCCAGCTTGTTTGTGTGTTTGTTTGTTTCCATTTTCATGAAACATCTTTTATCATCCTTTTGAGTCTGTGTGTTTTTCGATATGATGTGAGTTTCTTGTAGGCGGCATATGTAAAGGTCTTGTTTTCTTATCCATTCAGCTACCCGTACTTTGACTGGAACATTTCTATATTACATTTACAGTAATTGTTGATAGATATGTAGTTACTGCTATTATATTATTCAGATTTTTAAATCTTTTTTCTTCTTCTTAAAGAAGACTCTTTAATATTTCTTGTAATACTGGTTTGGTGGTGATGAACCTTTGACTTTTTCTTGTCTGGGACAGTTTTGTATTTCTTGACTTGGGTGGTGATTACGCAGGTATTCCTATATGTTATACTACAAAGTTGTGCTTTATGTACTTTTCTGTATGTGTGTCTTTTCATCTCAGTAAGTGGTACCATCTTCGACTTGGTTGCCAAGGTCAAAAATCTTGGAGTCATCTTGACTCATTATCTTACACCTCATATCTAACTCACCAAGAAACCTTGTCAGTTTTACCTTCAAAATACATCCAGAATCTGATCCCTTCTCACCACCACATGGTTTGAGCCACTACCATCTTTCACCTGGATAAAGGCAAGTAGCCTTCTAACTAATCTTTCCTTTGATACTCCCGGCTCGGTTTATTTTCTATTTAGCGACCAGTTTCTTTTCTTTTTTTTCCTCCTTTCACTTGCAAGGTATTTCTTAATGAGATATAATCACATACAATGAAACACACATAAGTGTACATTCTAATGAGTTTGTACAAATGTAGACACCTGTGTAATAGACACCCTAATTAAGGTATAAAACATTTCTTCTATCCTCCTGAAGTTTCCAGAAGGATCCCTTTAAAGCCAGTATCAGATCATGTCACTCCTCTGCTCAAAACCTCTCAGTGGCTCTCCATATCTCACTGAGAATAAAAGCCCAAGTCCTTACAGTGGTTTATAAGGCTGCAGTCTGCCTCCTCCTTCCATTATTTCTCCTACTCAATTTTAGAGTTCTTGCTTCTTCCTTGAGTCTACTCCAATTGCAGTTCATCTTCAGTTCCTAGGACCTGTCAGAAACTTTCCTGCCTCAAGGCCTTTGCACTTGGTGTTCTCTGGAACTGCTCTTCTCCCAGACACCTGCTTTGTTTAGGTCTCTGCTCAAATGTCACCTTATCAGAAGAGGCCCTCCCTGAGCACTCTATATAAAATAATATTCCCCGTACCACTTATCCCCTTACCTTGCTTTACTGTTCTTTGTAGTACTTATCTCAATCAATATTATGTATATATATGTATAAATCTATTAGTCTCTCATGTAAGTTCTGTGAGAGCAGGAACTTTAGTGTTTTTGTTATGTCTGTATCTCCAGCGCTTAAATCAATCCCTGACTTATAGTGGGTGCTCAAAAACTATTTATTAAATGAATGTCCACAGCCTCCAGTCTAGTCTACCATCATGTCATCTGTAGTGCATCAGCCTAGCTGATCTCCCCATTACATGTCTGGTTCCTTCAATCCATTTCCTGCACAGCATAATTATCTTTTAAAAATTCAAATCTGATCATTTCACTTTCTTTCTTAAAACACTTTGATGGCATCCTTTTGCCTTTCAGATAAAGTCCAAAGTCCTTAATATGACTTGCAAGGTGTCTTCGTTGGCCCTGACTATCAAGCCACTTTGTCTTTTTCCTCCAGCCATGCTTTGAGTTCTTAGGTGAAACCAGTCTTTCACTTCAGGTCCTTGGTATATACTTAACCCTCTGCCTGGGATATTCTCTCTCCCATCCCCCTTCAGTTCTCAGTTTGAGGGTAATTTCCTAGGGGAGACTTCCTTCACTTCTCAAACTAGGTTAATTCCTTCAGAGTCCAGCTTCATTCTCATCTCTGCTAGCGTGCTTCCCCTCACCCCCATATTTAATTTTTTAATTTGTAAGAACAACTATTTTATTTCCACCTATGAAATGAAGTTGTACCATTTGATTAAAGGTGATAAAAACAGCTCTGACTTTTAAAAGATGTAATCATAGAGTTGTAAACAAAAAATATTTTGAGTACACCATTGATTTATGCACTTTTGTGGAGTTTGATCTCTTTAAGAATCTGCTGAATGTTATGGATCCTAAGAATAATGCTCATTTGCATGTATTTTGTATATTCTCTTAAGATTCACAGGTACTTAAAAACATGTGGAGTAGTAGATGTTATCTTTTTCCTATTCTTTCTCTCAGCTCTTTAAGACTAACTTCTTGATTCATGCCTTTAATCCCATCCCTTCTCAGTTATAGCTACCTTCTAGAACTTAAGTCATCAGCCAGCATTCTTTCCCTTTCATTTTCTTTCCTCCTGGACCCTTTCTTTCGGCTTATATAAAAGATAACAATTCAATGTATCTCTTTCTCCCCGCCCCCAAAATATGTTTACTATCTATTTAAACATAGGTAAAAGTCTAAAAAGATAAAGTCCAAAGAGAAAAGTAACCAATTCCCTAGAATCACACCATCAAAAATAAGCAATGTTACCATTTGATGACTATTACTTTAGACATTTTTATATGCAATGTACATCTTTTTCCATAAAGCTTTGTTCTAATTTTGACTGACTTTTTTTAGCATAAATTCTCAGGAATATATTTTTTTAATGAACCATTTTAATGATTATTTTGCTACTCATTGCTATATTTTTCCCATGACACTTTTCAAGAATAGTCTTTGCCTTCCATGGCAGTGTATGCTCCTATTTCTCCATCTGCCTCTACAACGTCATCTTTCCTGTTTCCTAATCGGCTTTGTCTCATCACTTAAATGCTGTTTCCTGTGCGATGCTTTTATAAGCCCCTTTCCCAGTAGGCCTCTCATGTATCTCAGGTATCCCCACTATACTTTATACATTGTTATGTAGAATATATCACACTGTGTCAAGTGAGGTTATGATTCTGAAGTCTAAAACTGGGATTGGGTTAATCCTGAGATATCATCCCATTATATTGTTTTCCTTGTACTTGTCACACTTGTCACTGTTTGATGTCCAGCTCCATGAGGACAGGGGCTGTGTTCATTTTATTCGTTAATATCCCCCATGCCAAGCACAGTGTCTGGCAGAGTAGCTGCTCAAAGAATATCTTTAAATGGATTAATGAATACAAATTAAAAAAAAAACAAACAAACCTAACTCACCATTTATTCTTGCATCTGTTTCCTGGGATTAGCTCAAATTCTAGCCTGATCAATAAAAATTTACTAATCATTTGGCCTAACTGGCCTCCCTGCCTCTTATCATCCCTCTCCCTGCAATCTGATAGCCTGCAATCATGTTAACATTTAAAAAGTCTGATTGTGTTCCCTTCCCTCAAACTCTGCTATCTCCCCATTACCTACAGAATTTGGTCAAAGCTCCTCATCTTGGATTCAAGGCTTTGGCCCCGATATCCCTTTTGAAATCTCTCTGGGTTTATTAAGTGCTGATTATATGCCAAGCACTGGGCTAGTCACTGAGGAGTTCACAAACTAGCTGGGAAGACAGGTACATGAATTAACTTTAATAGGACATGATCAGCTATATTGCAGGGTCTGTGAGGACACAGATAGTTTCAAGCAATGGATTATAAAATACTAGATTTTGGCCCTCTGCAGGTTCTGAACTGTAGTGACCAATATGGTGGCTACCAGCCACATTTCCAGTGCTCAACAGCCACAAGAAGCCAGCAGCTATCATAGACAGCACAGCATAGATCATTTCGATCATCCGTGGAAAGGGGGTTACTATAGGTACTTCAAAGAGAGCCAGGACTATTTTCCATACATGTACGCTGTAATACTAGCTATCAGTCCCTCAACCTAATTCTCCCACTCACATGCCACCCCACCTTACACTGTGGCTGGAATGTTTTTTGAAGTAGCACAGGCTCCCAATAGAGAAAATGCATGAAAGTACTTTTGTAAATTAAGTGATACAGAAATGTGATAATAATAAATAGGTTCATTTCTTTCATTACAGCTTTGGTTACTTCAAGCAAATTCTAGCTCCTTTCTCGAACTTCTCCCATTCTTGTAATTTATGCCAAAGGGTTCTGAAAAGTCACACACAGGCAGCATTTGTATCAGGTAAAAATCCAGATTATACCTACCTCGATGCTTCTACAAGCCATCTATCCAGGACCCTACTTCACCATCTGCCTTTTCCTCTGTCACTTTCCCTAGAAAGGAAGGACACAAATTAAAATTTCTAAAATATTTATTTTGAGATTGGAGAATAATGGGGAAACTATGTAATGGGAATTGGACCCTCATCGGCATCTTCTGGCAAATCAGAAGTCCCACCATCTTCTGCAGCTCGACGTTTCTCCAATTTAGAAATCAATTCTTTCGCTGGATTGAAGACGCCATTGGTCTGCTGGTCACAGACATAGCAGCGTGGCGTGGTGCGGAAATGCTGCAGTGCACAGCTCTCGCAGAAATAATGCCTGCACTTGGTGACAACTGGGTTTTGGAAGGTCTGGCGACAGATGAAACACTTGAATGGTAGTTCCTCATCATCGCTTCCTACTTCATAGTTTTCGTCCTCATAGACACCATAGCGACCCTCATCGAGCTCACGTTCGATCTGCCACCCATGTAAAATGTAGTATATCCATACAATGGAATATTACTCAACCATATTAAGGACTATATTGATACATGCTACATGGATAAACCTTGAAAACATGCTAAATGAAAGCAGGCAGTCACAAAAAGGCCACATATTATATGATTCCATTGCTAAGAAATGTCCAGAGAGGCAAATATAGAGACAGAAAGGAGATTAGTGGTAGCCTATGGGGGTGGGGGATGAGGGAGAATGGTGGAGAGTGACTGCTAATGGGAATGGGTTTCTTTTGGGGATGTTGAAAAGGTTCTTGAATTAGTGGTGATGCTTGCAAACCTTATGAATATACTAAAAGCCACTCAAGTGTATACTTTAAGATGGTGAATGTGATGTCAATTTATATAATATGTGAATTACATCTCAATAAAGTTGTTACAGAAGAGAGTAAAAGGAAGATGAGAAAGGAAAGATATTAAGCAGACATTATTTTTGGTTTGGTGAGAAGGAAGGAGAGTGAAATAGCTAAAGAGGAAGGCTGGGTCAATGAAAAAAAGCAAGAGAGTGATTATCATAAAGTCAGCACAGTGGTTACCTGTGTGCTTGTGAGGGGGAGGGATGACTTGGAGATGATACATGAGGGGCTTCTTGAGTGTTGCCAGTTTTGTATTTCTTTTTCTTAATGGTACAATCAAATATTACTTATTACAGTTGTAAAATGCTTTGTAAATACACTGCCCTTACATTTGTTAGAATGTATACTTTCTGATCACATTTTAATTTTGACACTAAGGCAGAATTAAGCTTCTTTAGGTGAAATTATGTAATATTTAATTTTTTCATAAAGATTAATATCTTACAAACGGGACTTTTTTACATTTCTTTTAATTATATCTATCTATCTATCTATCTATCTATCTATTTATTTATTCATTCATTCATTTATTTATTATGATGACATTGGTTAACGAAATTCAGTAAGTTTCAAGTATACAATTCAACAGTAAGGCATATATATATATTACATTGTGTCGAACAGGAATTTGAACCAGACTCATCTACATACATGTGCATGCTTCTAATTTGTCCTGACACTTGACTTTTTTGCATTTTTCCTTTGTTGTACTTCAGTCCCTGTTGTAATCTGGAATTCAAAAAGAACTTCTGGGAAGGACGTAGTATTACTTTAAAAATTATAAATAGGAATAGAGTCATCATTCAGTGGCTAAGGATAACTGAATTCAATTTCACTGATGTTTAAATTGTTTAATGTCCTGTCCTTCAGAGAGACCGACATTTGGCATTTAATATCTGGGATTGCCGGTGAAGTGAAAGGAAAGATGAATTCTAATAATGAATCAAGCCAGGAACTGAAGGAGGCTTTGCTTCTTTAACTTGTTTTATAAGATCAGTTGTTTCAGTGAATAACCACGTTGTAGTGAAAGGAGGAATTGTATGTTGCTTGTGAGATGCAGAATGACATAGGAACTGCCAAAATTCCTTTCATTTATCATGAATTCCAGAAAGAACTTTTGATCAGAAATATCATATTCTATTTTTTTTTTCTTAAACTAAACACTATTCATTCTTTAGGGAACAGCATTCTAACTTTACTCGAAGTTTCAAATGGAATCATATCGCATGATTGTAATCGAAAAAAATAATGTGTAAATAGCACCTAAGACTCTTAAGGTGGCTTTACCAAGTTTAAATTCAACTTTGTGTCTCTAAGCAAGTCCATACATTTACATTTAACATAATTATTAATATATTAGGGCTTAAACCTGCCATTTTTTTTTTTTTAATTTTCTGTTGCTCTCTGTTTTTCATTTGTTTTCTTTTTCCTGCCTTTCTGTGGGTTACTTGAACATTTTTTAGAATGATATTTTGACTTATTTATAGTATTTTTGAGTGTATCTCTTTAAATAATTTTTTTGAGTAATTGCTCTTTTGCT